TGTGCAGTATGAATTTTAAGTGCTGGCTGACTGCTGAAGTATTTAAAGTTAAACTGAGCAGAAAAACAGCTAAAATCAGCTAAATTATTGCTAAAATATAAAACAAGCAACACAATGGCTAAAAGTCCAAATTAGCACATTTGCTGCTAAAAGCTAAAACTGGCAAAATGGTGGCTATAAGCAAAAAAAAAAAGCAAACAGTAGCTAAAACTGCAGCTAAAGCTTAAAATTAGCAAGACTATAGTAAAAAAAAAAACTTTATTGGCAAAGTGTAACTAAAAGCTAAATCACAGGTAAGGGATAAAATTAGCAAAAGTTTAGATTAAAAAATTTATCAGGACAGAAAAAACTTCAAATGTTAAAAACAGATTAACATTTTTCCTAGACCTAAATGATAAATCAAACCATTATTACATCCCCCCGTGACCCAAAATGGAAGAAACGGGTAAAAGATAATGGATGTATGTATTATTACATCCTTCTATTTGCTTTTCCTTTTATTGTATATGTTATATCTTATTATGTTAAAATAAAGAGAAGATTTCTTTGTGTTTTTCAGTGGTATCATGAAACCAGGGATGAATGCCATCATGGGGGCAACCGGAAGTGGAAAAACATCGTAACTCCTTTCTTTTTCCTCAGAATACACATGTGTACTTCTACCATCTCCACAGATACATAAAGACAATTTTTACTATCTCTTCACAGACTCCTGGATGTAATCGCAGGCAGAAAAGATCCAGCTGGACTTCGTCAGGGACAGGTCCTGGTGAATGGCAGAGCTGTCACCTCTGAGCTCAGGCTCAGCTCTGCCTACGTGGTGCAGGTAAACAAACGTGGAGTCAGACAGACAGCCTCCTTTAGTATAGCAGGAGCTTTTACATCCTGTTTGTGTTTTCAGGATGATATCCTCATGGGAACTCTAACAGTGAGAGAAAACCTCCGGTTTAGTGCCAACCTGCGCCTCAACCCCAAGTTGTACTCCTCTACTAATAAAAACAATCGTGTGAACACCATCATCAAAGAGCTGGGCCTCACAGACTGTGCTGACACCAAGGTACACTGTTCATATTAACACATGCAACTTGATCTGCACATGAGAAGAAGGTCTAGAAAAATGCTCAGATCTCTAGACAGACAGACAGACAGACAGACAGACAGACAGGCAGGCAGGCAGGCAGATAGATAGATAGATAGATAGATAGATAGATAGATAGATAGATAGATAGATAGATAGATAGATAGATAGATAGATAGATAGATAGATAGATAGAT